CCTCAGTCCCGCTGGCCTACTGAGGAGGATCTGAGGGTTCTCTGAGCTTGGGGCCTGGGGATGGGAAAATCAAAGAACTCGGCCTCGTGGCTGTTCAGGCATAACGGCTTCCAGCCTGCTTAACTGTTGGCCACAGAAGCTCCTCAGCCAGCAGCCCTGTGTGGTCTATGTGGTGGCCGTTTCCAGGCCAAGGCACGAGAAAGTAAGGAGATCTCCTACATCAGTAATGAGAGAGAGGAAGTTGAACGTGGTACACTACACGACAGCCAGACCCAAGGTACGGGAAAGGAAGTGTCTCAGATCAGCAAGACTCGGGGTATGGGGAGGAGGTGGCCCAGGAAAGTGAGGCTGGGGAAGCTTGGTCCTGAACCTAAAATTGTCACCCGGGCAGGCCTTGGCTAAACACCTGTCTTGGGGGGCACTTGGTACCAGAGGACCTGAGGACACAGAGACCAAAAGACAGAAGCCATTATCACTCCAGTGACCAGACGAGGAGAGTGAGTCTCTGCTATCTTTTTTCGGTGCGGCGTAGCATCAGACCTGATCAGAATCGATACTGCTAACCACCACTCCAGATGGTCCTTACCCAAGGGGTCAGTGAAGATGATGTGGCAATCAGGGATGTCCAGAGACTTGGCCAATTTATGGTAGTGATCTTTCACTTTAGGAATCAACTTCTTGGTCCTCCCTGTGTCCAAGTGGCAATGAGTGAGGCAACAGAGACAAGTCTGTACTTTAAGCTTTTAAGACCACGGCTGACCCAGTGCTGCAATGGCAGGTGTGGCCACCACCCCTGGCTCAGTACATAAACACTGTTTCACGAGTGAGTGAAGTCAGACACTCCGTTCCCACCGAGGGACCAAGGAAAGACCTCCTCCCTGAGAGAGGAGCTTCAATTAGAGAAAACTCTGGGTTCCTAAGGTTTGAGTCCACCGTCTCCAGGTGTGGCCATGAACCACATCCCTGAGGCGATGCAGTGAGGACTCACCATAGAGGATCATCTCAAAGTACACCCTGTTTTTGAGAGTCATGTTGAAGGACACGATGGAGAACTGATTGTAGTCAGTTTCTACCACTGTCATGGTGAAGTTCTGCAATCCTTCGAAACCTGCAGTGTGAGTGCCAAAGGTCATCCTTTCCTGGCCAGGTGGAAGAACGCTCCCTTTCTTCCCCAACCAGTCAGCATCGGCTTCTCCCCACAGGACAGCATGTGTGTGGAAGGGCAGGGAAGCCTGTTCCTTTCTGGAAGGACTCTGCTCCCCAAATCCCAACCCCGAGGCTCCCTCAGCCAGGACTCACTTGTTATATTCTCCAAGGTGAACTGGCTGGGCTGGTCGCTTGGGACTATGGGGTTGGACATGTGAACACATCCTGTGGGGCTGTGAGAGTGAGACACGGTGGTGTTGAGCTGGGACAGGACACAGTTTGGTCTCCCTGGTTGCAGAGCTGCATAGGAATCTGAGGCCCAAGCCCAGCCCAGCCCAGCCCATGACAGCCTGTCCTCCATCACGGCAGGGGCCCCGCTGGGTCGCCATCCACAGCACTGGGCCTGTCCCTCTGAGCCTCTTCCTGTCTTCTGCAGGGTCTGTTCAACCCTCCCTCTCGCAGTCCTCGTCTCCTCTGCTACCTCCCCAGGGCATCCTGTGCCGTGTGCAGATCCCTTACTGCACTGACCCCATGCTTACTTTACTGTTCCCCTTTCCCATCCCATCCCATTTCCCCTGAGCTTCCACTCTGTTCCTGGCAAGCAGTGACCTAGCCCTTTAACCAAAACTGACCTCTCACCTGAGTCCAACTCACCCGCGCACCACAGACTCAGAGCGCCACTGCTATGCCCTCCACCCTCAAATGCTCCAGTTGGAGCCAATCAATGTCTGGAACGCACTGACGGAAGATGAGCACGCGATACACTCTCTGACCCCTAATCTGCCGGACTTGTGGCACCTTCTGCCTGTGATGTCCTGGCACGACCTGGCAGTTTTCTGCACAGCTCCGCATCCACCGTTCTGAGACCCTTTCTCTGTAGGAGCCCCAGGCCATACCTGGCTTGCATTGAGATGCCCCAGATTCAGGCCTGGGAGTTCTGGCCCCTTGGATGCTCATCCCTCCCTGCTCAGGTGTCCATGCCCATGGATGGCTGCTGTGTTGCTTTCCACGGCCAGGCTTGCTGGCTCAGAGACCAGCAGCCCTTACCGTGACACACGTGACCTTCTGCTTTTATGATGCTGCTCCCGGTGTTGGTAGTGGAACAGGGGCTTGGGCACAGGGCCATGGCACTGAGTTACCTTCACAGCTCCACTTTTGTTCTTACTTTGGAGACGGTGGCTTCTAAGGTTGCCCAGGCTGAATTCAAGCTTGTGAATTTCCTGCCTCAGCCTCTGGAGCTAGACCTAGCTAAGGTCACTTCTCTACAACCCCTAATGTAGGCATGGGTGGGGTCCTTTGCAGGAGCCAGCGTCCTCCTCCCCTCTGAGGAGGGGTCCGCGCTTCTTGATTCATCCTGTGTTTTTGCTGCAGCCACCCACGAATACTGATGGAGGGGAGAGAGCAAGAGTGGGAAGAAGACAAAGAGGGAGAAACAGAAGGAGAGAACTAGGGGTGCAGAAAGGCCAGGACGGACCGAGGGAAGAAGTGAGAAAAGTCGATTTCGTGCAGAGCAATGAGATGAATAACGGCTTCCCTCAACACGTTGTCCCCTTGGCTATGACGTCAGTCTGCCTCTCAGACCCTCAGGATGTGGCAGCTTTACCTGAACCAATCAGAGGTGACACTGTAGCTGTTGTTGCTGTTCAGCCTGTAGGTGACACTGTACAAGGCTGCTCTGCTGAGGCTCTCATTCCAAGCTGTGTTCTGGGCCCAAGCTATGATGTACCACTTCCCCTGGAACTGCAAGAGTGAGAAGACAGGTGAACCCCACAGAGGGCCCCAGACCCACAGTTTCCACGTTGTCTCTGCTGGTGACTCTGTAGAGTGGGCTGGGAATGGGCTGCCCTGAGAAGCCACCAGCGGTTTGTGTCTTACAAGGCCCAGAGTGAGCCCGTGGGAGGAGTTTGCCCTGACCTGTGGGGTTGGGGCGTTCCGGTATAAGTGGCGAGTGGGTCTTTCAGAGCCTCGGTTTTCTGACTGCTGAGGAGGGACTGCAGATGTCCCGATCAAATGTGCACAGAGCATGGATCCCCTGAGCCGTCCCTCCCAAAACTGTCCTGAGTCCAAAGATCTCTTGCTCACTGTCCTTCTGCTGTCTCTTTCCCTTCAGCCTCTCCCTTCAGCTGCTTTTCCAGAAACTTACCTGGTCATATTGTAAATCTGGCTGCAGGAGGATCTTGCTCAGAGGTGGGCTTGGGATTATAGCTGAAATAGAGTCCTGAGCCTGGATATTCAGGGCCCCCAGCAGGGCGAGGCCCAGACATAGTTGCCCCAGGACCATGGCTACTGAGCAGCTGCTGGACTGGAGGGTGTTGGAAGATAGAGAGAAGGCTGAAGAAGCAGCCAGAAGGAATTATTTATAGCCTCCAGTCTGGCCCTCCTCGAGTGGGCAGGTCCGTTCTTTGCTAAACGCAGGACTAGTGAAGGACCTCATTGCCAGCAACTCCTTCAGAAATACGTGACAAGATATCCTCCCCACCCTGACCAGTCCGATTTGTGGACTGTAGCTCAAGAGCGACGTGGGACAGGAAAGACATGCCGTGACTTCCACCTTCCAGATCTCCCTCTCCATGCTCTCTGTGCCTCTTCCTTTCATCTGCCTGACGGATACTGCCTGTGGGTCAGCACCTGGAATTCGGGGAAATTCTCACATGTGACCTTCTGAACCCAGGGTGTGTGTGGGTGGGTGAGAGGCAACGTCCATTCGCTGTGACCACAAAAAGAAAGAGGGTGCTAAGTGTGGCAGCCCCTTGTCCGCAGTCCCATACTTCGGAAGATGAGACAGGAAGCAATTTGAGGTGAGTGTGGGCTACGCCGTGAGTTCCAAACCAGACATAAGTGCAGAGGAGACCCAGTCTCAAGAAAACCCACAAATAAAAAAGACAACAAGATAAAACCTAAAGAAAGAAAAGTGTCTTGGCGTGCCACTGACAGTGCATATCCTGGACAGGGAACGGCAGTGAGCCCACTGAGCCCAGATCTGGGCCCTCACCCTCCAGGCCCTCACCTAGGCCAGGGCTTGGAGCAGGCCCTGATCCCCTCTCTTCTCCATACCTCTGCCCCCATTTTCAGGGACAGGCAGGACATAAGGGATCCTCAGGGAATTTCCCTCTTCTCTGAGTCCCTTAGGTACAGACCGAGAGACACGTACACAGGCCATAGACATGGCTGTTAACCGAGCTGAGTGCCGAGGCTTCAGGGAGGAGGAACGGACAGGTGGGGAGTTGGGCAGAGGGGGTGAGGCCAGTGCAGATGACTGTGCAGCGCCCATTCTCTCTACACTGATGTCTGGTCTGCCTTAGACCACCTCCCATCTCCTTTAGCCCTCTGTCCTCATCTCTATGTTGGTCTTTGCCTTTGCTGAAACCTGGTGACGTGACATTTCCCATTTTCGTCTGGTTTCCTTCTGCCTTCCATCTCAGTACACCCCTGGCATTGACCGATGAATGAGCAAAGAGAATAAACCCAGTGGACAATTTATACTCTAGTGCTTACTAATCTCAATCCAGGCCTTGTGGGCATTCCAAGACGGAGTTGCCTATGTCTTGGGTAGAGCCAGGCCAAAGCGTGACCCATCCTTGCCAACTTGCTGTGGATCAGGAAGGACAAACACTGGGTTGCTGCTCGTGTCCTTCCTTAGGATAGGAGGCCTCAAGAGAGCTGCATTCAAGAGAAAAGATTCCATAAATGCATTGAAGTCCATCAGATGTGTGGGAAAGGGATCAGCTCCATATACTAGCTGTGAGACTCAGAACTAGGGGCCTTGGATAAGGACCATGCTGTAGACCTTCTGATGTGACTTGGGCCAACTCTCGGGCTCACAGTTTGACAGGACAGTGGAGACACCAGTTAGTGCCCATACCCTTCCTCCTGGGCCCTGTGCTAAGGAGGAGATTTGGTGGTCCGTACTGTTTAGAAGTGTGGCACTTGGAATGGTCTCTACTATGTGTATGGCATCACACCTGGCAATGACAGACACTCTCCTGTCTTCCCAGGAACCCTCTGATGGTTTCTCCTATGGCTTCTGAGCTGGTCTTAGAGGGCATCCGAGGAGCTGTCTTTCAGGAACTGCAGATCACTGTAAGAGTCCCCCAGCAAACCACCCAGAAGCTTTGAGAAGAAGCCCCACTCAGTCTGCAGTGCTGTGCTTACTGTGTCTTGCCTGTGGTTTGCTGAGGAGCCACCATGACTGAATCAGAACAAAACCTAGGTTTTCTGTGGCCAGAAGTCAGAGCTTTGGTTGCTCTGGGTCCATCACACAGTTGTACGTCTGGAAGGAGACCCTGATAGCCTGTCTTCCTAAGGACAGTACAGACTGCAACCAGGTCTAAATTGTCCAAGGACAGGGAGAGGCTTTCTGGTGATTGCTTTGTTGCATGTCAGGAATTCAGACTAACTTCTGGTCTGATTTCCAAAAACACAGGACAAAAGCAATGTCCAGCCATACCACGAAGGTCACAAGGAGCAGGGTCCACCTGGACAAACAAGGATGTTCTTCAGGGCAGGGAGCTGGGCAAGGAACAAAGCACAACACTGAGAACTTCCCCTGAGGCCTTGACCATGGGATTCCTGCAACCCTTCTGGACAGTCATCGTCAGGAGCCTGGCTCAGAGGTTGGGCCAGGAATCTGAACTTGTGTGGACAATCATTTTGGGCTTCAAAATTGGGGTGAAGAGAAGTTAAATCCCTGAATCCTACCTATGACTCTGAGAATCACCTCCCACGTGTTCAATGCTGTGAAGCAATGTATGAGTAGGTTTGGTCCTGAGGCCTTCCTCTTGTTCCAGAGTCACTCAGGTGTGCACTAGCCAGCCCAGAGTCACAGCGACCTCAACTGTTCCTTCTTAGGATCTCAGCCTGGATCTACCAGCACTAGAGTGGCTCACAACTCCTCGGTGTCTGCTTATACCCTGGATGCTTATACCATCCAGTCATTCCTGGTACACCTCCCCCTGACGTAGCTGGGTCTGCCTCATGGTGCCGCCTCCTCCTACTCTGCTGTGTTCACTTAATTCAAGCCGCCATTAGCTGGGGCACCCTGTCTTGGACCACTCCCCGCCCCAAATCCACAGGTGCTCTGGCAGTCAAGCCCATGGCCTCTCAAGGGCAGCTTTCGTTTCCTACAATCAATATTCTCTGCAACCCGGACCACCTAAGAATCTTCAACATCATCCAACTACTGCAAGAAGTTGCTACACACCGCTGTCTCAAAACTCCAGCTTCCACGGGCAGAAGCCCCAATTCAGAAAGTCACCATGTGCCCGACAGAAGGTGTGGGCCGGGCTCCAAATGCGGATCTTGCCTTGTCCTGCTCCCTGGACTTGTGTCCTCCTCACTCCCATCTCGACGTGTCCTCACTCAGCTTTCTCTTCTGTGTTTAATCTCCTCTCCCTGTCTGTCAAAAGGAACCTGGAGATGACATTTAAAGCCCAGCTGGATAATCTCCCCACCTCCGCTCCTTGGTTCCTTTCACATGTGGAATGAGAGAAGTGGGAAAAGGGAAAGCGAAAACAGAGTGGAGAGAAAGTGGGAGTAGAGACTTCTGATAGGCTGAGAAAAACTGTCTTCTAGCCTAACAGAGTTTCAGGCTAGGCTGCCAAAACAAATGCCACACTGTCAAGATCATCAAAATAAAGAGAAGTCTGAGAAACTTTCAATACCCAGAGGAGCGATTTGATGACATCTATGTTTGGGATATGATCTCAGAGTCTCTTAGGGTGGAAGTGTGGAAATTTAATAACCAATAGAATCTTCACGTGGCGGGAGAGTTGGAAGGGAAAACAGGACCGAACTTGTTCCTCCAGGATCGCTCAAAGTTGTTTTCAGTCTTAGCTGATTGATAAATTCACTTTGGGCTTCCGGTTTGAGTTGACTTTTTTGTTTGGCTGATATGATTAAAACGTTTCTTCTGCACCACAAATTCTTCGTCTGAAATTAAGGGTCCATTTGGTGTTCTGCGGTTGGCAGCCAGCACAATTTTAAATGTGACAATCTGGGATCCAAAGGGGGAGGCACTTTGAAATGCAAGGGGCAGAAGCCATGTTTGTTATAAAAATATTACAGTGAGTACGGTAGAAGAGAATACAGGGAGAGCTTCAGGCATGGAATTGTGATGTGAGAGGCTTTTATGTAATAAAGTTGGCCCAGCAAAGTAGGAGAGATAGCAGCAAAACTGAGAGGCTCACGCACATCAGGAAATGCTTTGAGGAATTTATTTTTGTAATATCTCATTTTGGTTTGGTTGAGCCCAGGCTGTTCCTTCTAAACACTCCTTGTTGCTCAAGAAAGAGTGTGGGAGGGTACTCTGACTCCGACTCTCAGAGCACGGGTCACTCCTCCTCAGGTCCCAGCTCTCTCCTCTGCTCTACCAGTGCTTTCAGACATAAGCTTTAACTCTCATGAAAGCAACACTAGACAGGAGCTTTTTCTGCATGACTAGCAGGCATCCCTAGCCTGCCGCTGGAAGACAGACCAAAGGGGCCTTCCTGGGTGGTTCTGCCTTAGTCTGTCGCACTCGTTTCTTTGACTTTATGGGATACTAAACGTATTTAGGTTTCCCAAGCCTACTGATCTTCACAAACTATCATACTGGTGATTTCCAGGGTAAAGTTATTTACGATGTTAATTTTTCCAGACTCAAATCTGTGGCTTCCCTCTACTTGTTCTCCAGCTATTGCTTATGAGATGTGCATGCCAATCCAGCGTGAGACAGCCAGCCAGAGAGTGCAAATGTCTTTTCAAGGCTTATACTTATGTGGTTGTTGTGTGTCTACCACACCTGAAGGAACTCAAACACTCTGTGGTCCAGACAATGTCACGTGCGGGGCATCTATGAACAAGTGCATTCTTCTAATATCATAATGTACTGCAATAGACTATGTCTCTCTAATAAATGATGACAAATTTACCTACAAGAATGTCATTTAATGTAATGATGTCTTCCTGATTGTTAGGCTAAAACATTAGGTTTTCCTTGATCTCCAATACGTTGTGTAAAACTTTATGATTGCTTTCTTTTAACACCCTACAGAGATTTCAACTCTAAGACAACCGTGATTGATAAAAAGTCATGTTTCTCTTGTCATATTGTGTATTTCAAGGTCATTGGTATCCAAATAAAATAAGTTTAAACTTATATCTCCCACAATCGTAGTGTTTAAGCTGATCTTCTGGGTGTTCACCAACTAAGGTATGAAGACCAGGTCTAAAAATGTAAGTAGAATAAGGGGACTGCCCATATTTTGGCTCTGGCTCTCCAAGGTCCACAAGAATCCAGGACAC